AGCAGAGAGAATGAGTCTGTATTTGTGTGAAACACTGTAATGTGAAGGCAGTTAATGGTGAAGAACTCCAGAGTTTGGATTATAGTATGATTATGTCTTGTTATTTAGGATAGTGCGGGATTACACATTGTTGTTATCAATGATGGTGGAGTATTATTAGGAAGTGGAAAGCATTGTAGTGTTTCCTGGGTGTTTTAAGTTGTGCGGAATACAGTTAATTGTGTGACCCTAACGTATAAGCTCATGCGGTATTCTTTCCTTGTGTTCAAATTTTCCTATACAGGTTTACTCTGATTAGATTAGTTAGAGTAAGTAAAACGACAATCCCAACTCATGAAGATCTGTAATAGTTGTAAATCTATTCTCACTTCTGCCAAGAGTAGCATCTATAATCCTTCCCTCTAAAGAAAACTCAAACAAATTCAAAAAATTAAATTAGAAGAGGATAATTTACAACCTTTAATATTAAATAGTTTTTTTTAAAGAAAGATAATCCACTCTCTTTAAAAAAAAAAATCAATATTAAAAAATAAGATTATTGCTTTAAAGATTAGTAGTCTGCAACCTTCAAAATATAATAATAAAAGTAGAATGATCCACTTATTTTTAAAATAAGACAAAAATAATAAGTTAGTATTCTTGTCAAACTGCCAAGGATATAAATCTTGAAGAAAAAAATCCTCAATATACTCTTGTGACACTGAAAAGAATTAAAAATTTATTTAAAGATGATATATTATTGAACTAGAATGACTATTGCCAAAAACAAGAAGACTTAAAAGTCTAAAAACAAGACTAAAGACTAGAAAGGCATTGACAAGACTGAAAAAGGCTTCATTCTTACTTCCATATATACTCTTAATTAAGAACTACGTAGCAATGTCTTATAGGACCTCCAAAACATGTTGACTTTATAAGACATTTATGATAACTTGCAAAGAAATTTTTTTATATATAAGCCACATAATTAGCTTATTTCATAAGCTAGCAATACATAGTTAATTTTTTGACTAAGTTTCTAACCTATCAATCAACTACAAATACATCTAAAGTCTAAGTAGCATCTATGAAGCTTCTAAAAAGCTTTTCTAGAAGGTATTATGAAATTAACTTACTTTTATCTATTTTTACTTATTTATACCTAATCATATATGTATTTATTAGAATACCTATGTATATTCGTGACAATATCATATGATTGTAAAAAGTCTTTAACTACCTTCCATATTTGATACCACCAAAAATCTCTTGATATTAGTTTCAAAGTCTTGTTGTATTCAAAATATCTAATTATTGAAAAGTCATGACAAGCTTGAAAAACATGTAATTATGCTTGGCCTTCTAAAATATATAATTGTCCTTCAAAATAGAGTAGATTATTGTTGAACTCAAACTTGAAAGTATCATGAGATTTAAAAGAATTATTCTTAATATCATAAACAAGAAGATCAAAGGACATATTTGACTAAATTTTCTTGACAAAGATTGAATCAACAATCAATATTGATTTTATTGCTCAAAGATGAAAATACTTTGTTTCAAAAGAATTATTTTTTTTTGATCAAAAGTTACATTTCCTTCTTTTAGTGTAAGATGAGAATGTCTAAAAAAGACATTTGAAAAACCTTGTTATTTTCTAAGTCAATAAGTAATTTTAATAAAAACATGCTCTAATAAGCTTGGTGACAATTTAAAACATGTGCTCACATGAAATACTTGGCATTCTTATGATCCATATGTATGGTGACTAGACTAGAATCTCCTTCTAGATAATGATGGCATTCTTGAAATAAATCTATAATTACAAAAAGCTCTTTGTTATGGATTTCATAGTTCATCTTGACTATTAAAAATTTCTTGGAATAAAAAGCTACCAAGTGGAGCTTGTAATTTTCTTCCATTTAAAATCAAAAACCATCCATAACAAAATTTGATGCATTTGTTTTTATGATAAATGTCTTTAAAAAGTTGACATAATATATGATTGGTGTAAAAATAAATGTTATCTTCAAAGCTTCAAAAGATGATTCAACTTCTTTGCTCCACTTAAGTTAGTCTTTACATGTTAAGTATTTAATAGAAGGTATAAGTTGAAAAAAATTCTTGATGAAAATCCAATAATAATTGGCAAATTCTAAAAAATATTGTACATCTTTGATTTTTTTTACATCTTCTAATCTATGATAGTTTGGACCTTCTTAAGCTCTATTATGAGACTGTTATTTGAAATAATGTATCCTAAAAAGTCAACTTAAGTAGTGTAGAATATATACTTTTTCATCTTAGTATATAATCTTGCATTTCTTAGTTTTTATAGCACATGACAAACATGAACATATTTTTTTTTTTTTTTCTTAGAGTAGATTAAAATATCCAAATAAGAGATGAAAAAATCATCAAGAAATTCACAAAAGACATCATTCATTAGATGTTGAAAAATAGCTAGTATATTTGTGAGTCCAAAAGATATAACATTATATTCAAAATACCCATATTTACTTTCAAATATAGTTTTTTATTTTTCTCTTGATTTAATGTATACCAAATTGTATGCTCTTCATAGATCTATTTTTGTATAGATATTTGCTTGATTCAATTAATCAAAAAGTCTTAAAATTAAGGATAGAAGAGACTTATTCTTGATAGTGATCTTGTTGAGTCTTTAATAGTTCACATGCATCTGCATAGATCCATCTTTTTTCTTCACAAATAAGATAACCCTAGTTGGAGATTTAAAATGGCATATGAAGTTTTTAGCCAAATTTTCATCAATATATTTCTTGAATGAAGTTAATTTTTTTTATAATAGAGTATAGATTGGTCCAAATGGTAGTTGAGCTTCTACTTGAAGATTGATGGAACAATCATAAGGATGATGTTTTGGAAGAATATCTACATTTTTCTTTTGAAAGACATCTTGATAATCTTAATATTGACTTCAAATGCCACTTGAAATCTTTTTTCCATCATTGATAGATGTAGTATATATAACAAAAGTTGATCCTTCTTTTGTAGCATCTATAAAAATTCTTACATCTACCAATAATGATTTGGATGTATCAATCTTATGGATTTGTATTTACCTATAAAAATCTTGAGCTAAACTATGAGAAAAATCAAGATTGCAAGAAATTTAGTCTATTTGAAGGTTATACCTTTTTAACCACAATAATCCTAAAATAATTAGGTTAACAAAAAATCTAATCAATCACATTAAATATTACTAAATTATTATTACTACTAATTGCTACTTCTACAAAAATAGTTTTATATATAACATCTTTAAAAGACAATGAATGACCATATATTACTTCTATATACATATATTTGATTTTTTTAATTAAAGATATATCTTATTTTTAAACAAAGTCTTTATTTATAAAATAAGTTGATGCTCTTGAATTCAATAAGACTGAGACTTTATAATTTTTTGGTCTTAATGAAATTTCTATTGTAAAACAAGATGAGGGATCTTAGGAGAGAATATGACCTTTACTAGAAATTGCATAAGATTTTAGCACCATCGTCCCTATTATAGCTAGAGAGACTTATTTTCTAATACATTGTCTTCTTTGGCAACCATGTTCTTCATTTTATGATTACATTGCTTCTTTGGATAATATTGAGCAATGTATTTAGGTTCTCTATAATATAGGCACAAACCTTTTTCACAATAATGAATCTTTTCTTGCTTAGTAAGAGGTTCAAAATATATCATATCAATTTGCATCAGTTTTGACTTTAATGAATAAGTTTTTGAAAACTTAAGAGCTACTATCATTACTTGATTTATTTATTTTTTAGCCAAATCTTTATTCTTAATGCCTTTCAAATAATTGATTGTTACATGCAATGGCTTGAATAATAAATTGCTTCAAAGATTCTATTTTTGATATTATTAATAATAAATCTTTGATGTTGTCATTTAATCCATATCATAATTGATTGATAAGGATTTTGTCATTTCAATCCATGCTACAAGTGAGGTTTTGAAATTCAGCAGCATATATGGTGGCTAACCATGATCTTTGTCATAAAGATAAGAACTCAATCTTTGCTACTCTTTTTTTATCACTTTCTTTAAATGTGGCCATAAACACTTTCAAGAATAAATTTAAATTATAAAAATATTGTGAATCACTTTCCATCAAAGATGCAACCTAAGAGAGAACACTTCTAGATAAAAGTGGGCCTATTAATCCTACTTGAATAAATCCATCAGGGTATTGAAATAGATGCAATCTTTGATAGAGCTTGATTTGTTGCAAAAATCTTCAAATTTTTAATCATGTCCGATCAAACTACTTAAGCATATTAATTCTTATCCTTGTTGTACTTGTAGAAGCAAAACTTCTTGGATTTGGTTGTGAGGTTGATCTACTTGCTTCTTTCAACTGTACAACTTCTTGATACGGACTTTGAACTTCTTTCATAGGCACAGGATTAGTGTTTTTTTGGTTGGCACTAGTGACACATAAAATTTCTACCTTAATAGTGTTGACATGTTCATGGAGATTTGCAATAATTATAAATCTATTCACTTTTGCTAAGTATAGCATCCATAATTTTACCTTTCATTTCAAACAACTTAACAAATATACATGTCAAATTAGAGGAAGGTAATCTACAACCTCTAATGTCAAATGAAAATTTCCACAAAAAAAAGCTACATAAAGAAGTTATATCTATATATTCTACAAACATATCCAAGAAACCATGTGAACAAAGTCTATTAAAAATTGGGCAGTAATCAATTCATCTTTCAAAAACAAATTGTTTCAATTTGAAAGAATTGAGCTAACTTTGATTATTCCCAAGTTATGGTAACTTGCAACAAATTTTAAGTGAAATAACACATACATGTCACTCACCAAATGATTTATAATCAATTGCAAGGTAATTGAGGATTTTGCAATTAAAGACTATGGCTTATGCACAGTTTGTATTTCAATGTCTACCATTCCATAGCAGGGTCCAACAATCAAGAAAATAAACAGCAATTGTGCTCAAAACTGTTCACGGAGGTGAAGCAATATACTCATATACGTTCAGGTTACAAGCATTTTCTGCAAGAGTATGCAACTGCACATAGTCCTCGTCTACACATTGAAACTCAGCACAAGCAAGCTAAACTTCGTTTAGGTTCGGAGTGTAACCGCTAGCCACTGTAAGAATTCATATACAAGCAATTTGGAGGTAGACTTTTACAAACTTTGAAAAACCAGGGAATTCAACATGACAGACGTAGATGCTGATCTTAGATCAGGCTGTCACAGACGACAGTAATTCGAGAGTGTTATTCCTTTTTGCCCCAATTCAGGGCACTCAGGTCTGGTGTTGTCACGGATACTTAATCTAGTCCACCTTTGCATGTACCTGCCCCTCCCCTGTTGCAGGCTTGGGAGTGTGTTCTGTTTCAGGTATGAGAGCATTTTGCTGCGGCATAGGAGTGTCTTCCAGTGGGAATGATCTCGCAGGGTTACCCACAGCTGGTTCAATGAGGCCAATTAGTTCATTCATATCAGCAGCAGCTTGTATAGCAGCTGCTACGCCTCCTGGTGTAACCTCACCTTCATGCGGGGCTCGCATCTCTGCAGCAAGCACCTTGGCAGCGTCTTCTTGGGTTGCTACTTTGTCGGCTTCCATGGTAATAGTTGCGTCCTGCCAATTGAAACGAGTTTCCATTTGGGGTGAGACGATGCAAATGGTTTTTACACCAGAGTTATTTAACAACCTTTGGAGCCACTAAGCAATTTTTTTGAGAACAAGCAGTTTTATGCTTAATTCTTTTTCGAGAGCGTTTAGACAACGTGCATGAGAGCCGAGTTTTTTGACAACCATGAAAGTGTAGGCTAAACCTAAATGATATTTTTTTTTAGCGGTCAACTGGAACACGATCACAATTAAGGTATACTAAGGAACATACCACGAGTAAATCAGCCAAAGTAGTTTTATCGGCACTCGGAACTCGCGGGTTCAGATCAGCAGCGGACATTGCAGCTGCAGCCACACCTCCTGCTCTCGGAGGTGCACCAGTGGCCCGCATCACAGCACTTTGAATGGCACGAGCATCATTCTCTCCCACAGGTCTGTCACTAGCTCCAACAGCTGCTGCCTCCAAAGCCTACAAAATAACATTTTGGCACATTCCAGAACTCGAATTCAATACTTCAATAATGCTTCCGAATATTTTTGCGGCAAATGAATGTCCCGCTCACCGCCACAGAGTTCCGATGCATTGATGTCAATGATCGTAGCTTAGCGACAGCGGATAATTCTTCAGTTCAATTGAAGAATCGATTACAAACCACAGAGCTAAAAGATGCACACCTAAACCACTAATGTGATGCAATTTCACGAGAGGAAAAAACTCACATCTCCAATTGTGACAGCGTCTGCGGTTGCGAAGAAGGAATCGGTGGGCGTAGGCTTCACAGCAACCATCACAGGTTGGCCTGCAATGTACTCCATACCAACCGCTGCGCCTGCAAGTATAATTTTCAATGACACAAATCATCAAACAAGATTAAAAACCTCAGGTACAGGTAATGACAAATTCAACTCTCAGGGCCCACATACTCTTCGTCAATTGAGTAAAATGGACATCACTTTGGCCCATGCAATAAATGTATTGAATGTTTTCAACATTGTTGCACTACATAAATCGGAAAACTGAGATCCTGAGCAACGTCTTCCAAATTCAATTGGGAAAGATGCTTTCCCGACTGCCCCAACCTGAAATCAATCTGCAGTTTGGCAATGTCATACGATAGCGAGTAATCAACATCTGATAGATCGAATCCAAGTTAGGGTTACGCACGTGTTTGGTTATTATACCTGGAAGGAGGATCTTTTGAGCAGCGACACCTTCCTCGGCAACCTGCGAATGATCGCTCTTCTGAACAAACCCTGCTTTCACGTTCTCTTCTGCAGCTGCTTGCATAACTGACGCAGCTCCATCCTTCTGCGTCTTCCCATACGTCCTTGTTTCAGCGCTTTGCATAAGCGCTGCATCCTCCGGCGTCACAGGGTCGGAACCGAGCTTCCCTTCCGCGCCAACAATGTCCCTGTACGTAATGGGGCTCTTGAGAAGGCTCACGTCCTCGTTGGCCTTGCTCATTTGCTCCCTCGCGACCTCCATCTCCATTGCAACACCACTCAGCAACTTGATTCAACACACGAACCTCTTTCAAATCCTACCCAGCCCAACTTGAAACACTAACCCAACAATCTCTTCAACTCAAAACTCTTAATTCCGACGATTAGTGCACCACAATACCTACAACTCAATTACAATATCAAAAGTCATAAACATCCGGGGTCCATGGATCTATTTATACGAGAGTGAGCAAGCAGGGAATAAGTGTCCACAGATGACAAAGTCGATCGAGATAGTTGCAGTCTTGGAGGCTGAAAGTAGACAGCAATGGATTGTTCGTATTTGGCAGGCACAGAGCGTGACATCTCAGGCCCTCAGTGCCGAAAAGTAGGAAGAAGTCAGCACGCCAATTGTCGCGACCTCGTGACGACATCTGGCAGCGAGTGAGTGGGCAACATGGACGCGCGTTCTGACGTGGTTGAGGACGTGGACAGAGCGAGGGCCATGAATGGAATGCGAGGGAAGGGAGTGGACTTGGACCGTGTCCCCTTCCCCTCAACACCACATAATCCCGGTTGGGCAGCCTAGATATTTTAACTGCCCGGGCTAGAATTTCATCCACATCCACATGTGCATTATCATCACAATGCTTTTCACAGCTCGAAGGAAAAACCATACAAAATTGTCTATGTGTATCTGAAAGATATTTGCTGAAGCAAAAAAATTATGGAACATAATACCATTTGATTTCTTTATAAACAATGTATTATATGTTCACTTTAAAAAATTTAAGGCCATGTCCATATATATATATATATAGATATGAATATATGAATTTAAGAAATAATGTAAAAAAATGAGGTGTTAATGAAAAAATTTAAACATAAAAATTTATGGATCTATTATATCCATACATACAAAGGCACCTTAATTAATTTATAGCCCTTAATCAATATTCCTTGCTTATTTAATAATATTTGTTGGAATGGAGATTGTTCTTAGGCAGTAAACTTATAATCTTATTTTTTACATAAATAAGTAAAAAATATGAAATTTCATAATTTAAGTATTGAATATGATCTAAAAATTATGTAACCTCAAAAGTGAATATGATCTAAAAATTTATTGTTTGTTACAATGACCAGACAACAGCAACTTAGGCCATGGAAACAACAAGCTTCTAATTCACTTTGCTAGAACAAGCTCAGACATCCAAATTTGAGATGGAATATTGAATCTTTAAAACAAAAATTGGTCAAACTTAACTTTTCATATACATGTCTATAAATTTTCTATTCAATGCACTAAACAAATATGCTTCTAAGTTGCTAAAGCAACTTACTACATACACAAGGTAGGATTAAAGCATCAACACAATTAATTAGCACATAATCATTTATTACATTGCAGTAAGTCATGTTATAAATTAATAAATAGATAAAGGCAAAATTGTAGAAGATAGGTCTTTATGCCTTTGTCAAAACCACCATGCAAATTATGAATTATCTACTTGAGAATTCCTTAAATTATGCACAAAGATTGATGAAGGCCAATATCACAAGGATATCATTCAATAACATATTGATGGTAATATAATGAAGAGGATTTCGACAATACTTGGAATGGCACAACTTCATGGTCACAACATACTCTCTTATCTATCTTAGGTATATCTATTGCTAGCCTACTTACTATCTTGAACCAGAGAATTAAATAAAAGACTAATATGACATTAGGGTCAATTAGAAGAAGGCATCATGTAAGTACAAAAGACAATCTTACTAGCAATCTTGAATATATTGCATTGGCTACAATGCACTTAAAAAAATCACAAGTGTTAGAATAGCCAAACTACACATTTTAAAATTCTCTTTGAAAAAAAAAAAAAAAAACCTAAAAACTATGAAATTATATAACTCTATATAAATCATAATACCTTGCATAATATATAAAATTTTAATCTAGTAAGGTCATAGATTAATTGATATATATGTATGTCAATTAATTTATAAAAATATTTATACATACATATAAATAAGTATAAAAAGTATTTTATATAAATATAATTTAGAAATATTTATAAACATAAATTGAAAAGTATGATATAAAATTTGTTGCAGAGGACTAAAAAATTTCATTCATTCATTTGTTCAATTATCCATGCTTTGGAATATATTCTAAATGTTTCACAAATACAATAAATTATGGCATAAGATGTTGGAAACCTTAAAGAATGCAAATTTCAAAACTTTATATAATGTTTGACCACTCAAACATTTTTAAGTTTATCAAGTTAATAAACCTATTCACTTTGTTAATGTCAAGTATATTTGGTTTAAATAAATTGTGTCCACCAAATATACAAAAAATACAAAAATATAAAAATTTCATAATACTTATAGGCTTCATATCAAAAAACAACTGTTAAAAAAGTAAACAAAACGTATACATTATTTTGATATTTGTTGATTGTTTTGGTTTAATTAGCTACTACCATGTGAAGGTAGCAATTATTGTAGCCATTTTAGGTTTAGTGCCAAGGATTTTTAATCTTTCAAACTATCTTTATACATATACTCACAATAAGACACACATCAAGTTGTGATGAAGTTGTGATGAAGTTGTGAGGAAGGCAAATAAAGTTAAAATAAAGAGCCCTCTACTAAAGTGACAAATACAATGAAGGAGAATGAAGATGTAATGAAGAACCCTGTGCAAAAGTGACAATTGCAATGAAGACAAATCAAGTTGCAACAAAGAGCTATTTCCAATTTTTTTGATATCAAGTATGCAATTTATAATCCAATATCAATAAAGTAATATATTTCAAAATATAATATATCTTAGCAAAAAATTAGTATCTATCAATGTAATAAAAAAAATTAAATAGATTGTATTACATCAAAGAATAATCTAAAATTATTTATGTGATTGATATGATGTCATTTTAGCAACAAGATTAATTTCAAATTAGTTTTCGACATAATACAATTTGTATAAATTTTTATTATATCTTGCCATTAAACAAGCTGCCAAGTAATAGAAAAGATCCATATTTGCTTATCTTAGTATATCGTTTGTTCCAAGCTACAAGTTTTGCTACGATAATATGATGTAGTTTATTTGTGCAAATATTAATTTATTGCTTTGACTTTTTGTGAAGAAAGACTTTTAGCAACTTCTCTTCTTGTTTTTGTTTTTGGCTTTTTGTGAAGTTCTTGTTCTAACTTTTTGTTGCTTTAAGATGCCATGTAACACAATAGCGACATCAGATTTTCAATGCAAATTGCATTGTCTTTACTACTCCAATAAAATCTATATCATTTTTTCATTCAAAAGCTATGCATAAGATCACAAATCATGGTGTTCAAAAGCATCAATTACAAAACTGCAAATGCAAATATCAAAGTAAATACAAACATTTGCAGTTCATGATTTGCAACATGAAAGCAAATTCAAAACCAAAACCAAATCTATGAATTTTTGTTCTTACTCATAACATCTATACTTCATTGGATATTGCTACTCTATTGCCAAATTGGTAGTGAAATAGAGCCAATTCTTATACTCAATTAATGGCATATTACAAATCATGTGCATTACACAATATATATCACCAACCACATTATATAAGAATCTTATTATACCTATACACAAAATAGTTACATAAAGACTTTATTGTAACTACACAAAAACACAATTTCAATGTCCCTTATTACTCCAACTAATGGAATTATTTGATGCTACATACAAATGCTTAGAGTCAATTTTTTTAATATAAGTGATATTAAAGTAGTGTTAATTTTTGTAGAAGGCCTTGTATTGCAACTTGATATGCCCCTTACTACAATTATTATATATATACATAATACATCACAAAAACCAATTAATATCATTTTTTGTGATAAAAAAAAAAAAAAAAACAAATATATAGTGGTGATATATAGTTAGACACTCATAGTTGATTTTTTTATGTGAGTGGTGTTTATTGACACTTTTGCAAAGAACTCTTCATCACAACTTGATTTTCATTCATTTCTATTATTAGTTCTACAAAAGATACTTGTTAAGGTATATTATATTATTTTTTAATTAATTAATTAAAATAAAGAATATTAATTGGCTATCGAGATATATTGTTTTTTATTTTTATTTTTATTTTTTTGATTAGCTGCCAAAATAGAAATTGCAATGAAGAGAGATCAAGTTATAATAAAGAGCCCTATGCAAAAGTGACAATTGCAATGAAGGCAAATCAAATTGCAATAAAGAGACTTTTGCAAAAGTGATAATTGCAATGAAGGCAGATCAAGTTGCAATGAAGAACCCTTTACAGAAGTGAAAATTGCAATAAAGAGAGATCAAATTGCAATGAAGAGTCCCTATTGCTCTAGTCAATGGGATTTTTTTTGATGCTATATATAAATGTAGATGCTCAATTTTTTAATATAACTAGATATAACTTTGATAAATTCCATATTGTCATAAAATTAAAGCGTTTTTTTATGCATCTCCTACACAAATAAAAGATTCATTTGTAAAAAATTTACTCTTCAAATATACAAATATACAATTTAGGCATTCTAAGATAGGATTGTCTTACTCTACCTATTAAAGTTTCTACAGAATTTAATTTCACAGCTTGAAAGAAAACTTTTCCATAATCTAAACAAGCTTATAAAAATCTATTGTAGAATTTCATCATATCCATAAATAATCCCACAAAACTCATGTATCCACAAACGCTATACACACCCGTATATACAATCAACATTCACACTCAATACACACGATGTACTGTGTGCTGGGCGCGGGCGGGCGGTCGCGGCGAGAGTGCCGTAGCTTGTTCCGATCGCGGCAAGCGGCATCATCCGCGGAAGCGAGAGTGGAGAAAGCCCATGCGTGAAGGGGAAGCGTGCAGGCAACCGAAGATCCTCGCTTCGCAGAATAGAAATTAGAATCTATGGAAATGGGTATTTCAGTATTCTAATACTTGACGGGTTTACCTTTGGTCAGAAATTTGTTCGGTGCTGATGCCCTGCGCTTCAACACACTCTATCACCGTCGAGAATATCGATCACTCGTGGCAACAAACATCTTGAAGCTGTTAAGCGAGGGATTCAGAAACATGCTGCACTAGAGAAACAGGAAACACGGAGAATTTCATGTGTCTGCGTTGGGATCTGAAGTTGGTAGCGATGAATCTTTGGAATACGTGAGAGCGCAAAATCCAATTATATTATGATAAAGTGTAAGCTACGTCCACTACATTCGTTGCATGATTGTTCACGGCATGTTGACCACAGAAAAAGTTGTATGCTTGCATGTTGATCCGAAGGCCTCGCAGCTTCTGCTGCGTTCACACATTATGCAGTATCAGCGGGATCAGTGTGTGAGTCGAACGCATTGGGTGTGGAGTTTTTAGTCGAGATTGCCCAGAATTGAGGTGAAGAATCAAGTAGGTGAGACGGAATTGCGGTGAGGAGCTGATGGCGTTGACGCCATCTCTCCTTCGATGCCATTCTTTCCTTGGTCGTTTTGCGTCTACATCCTCTCACATTCGCAAGTCGAGGCAGTTGGATAACCAAATTTCTCTTTGGCAGTTGGATTCTGCTGTGTTCGCTCTGACATCTTCTCTTATGGTTTCTGCACAAGCCTCGCCACTCTTGGGCGCATTTCAGCATACAAGGGTGCCTCTGGGGAGTTCTGCGCTTCCGTCTCGAGGTGGACGTCGGTTATCCTCTAGGCGTGCAATTGTAGAAGCTCAATCCAAATTGAAGAAGTCCTCAGGGAGGAAATTCCTATTTTTAGGGCATATGAAGGAATTTCGAAGCTCACCGGGTTTTATTCAGGTCAAGAGAAGGCCAGGAGTGGTGACAGCGCCATCCGCATCCAACTGGGACGCATTGCCTGCTGTCGCAGCAGCGGGCTTGAGTGTTCTTGCAATTCTTGTAGGGGCGCAACTAAGAGAAAAGGCACTCGAGGTCTTAGGTGGGGGTGCATTCAACGCTTTTATCCTTTCTAAGCTTACAGAGCTTGAGAAGCCCTACAAGCCATACCCATTGCTCACAAATCGGCATGTGGAGACTATCTTTGCTGCCTTCTTCCGATCATTGCCCAGCCTCACATACAGACGAGAATGCTTGCGAATGGCAGATGGCGGCACAGTCGCTCTGGACTGGCCACAACCTGAAATTCAAGATCCCAAGGCAGTTCTTATTCTTCTGGTCTGCACTGCACTTCTCCATCTTTGATTTGGAGGGTTTCAACATTTTTTCTCTTTCCATTTATTTGTAAATTTTAAAGTTGCTGCTGGTGAATCCATCAACACTGTATGTTTTTGGTAAGTCTTTTTTACGAGTTTAAATCTCTTTTGAAGAAAGAATGAGGGTTGAAGAAGAACTGAACACGATACGCCGCTGTGGGCAGCCAGGTCTGACAGGTGGGAGCGATGATACGTACGTGCAGCATCTCACGCGCCGTGCAAGCAAACAGGGTTGGCAGGTGGTTGTGTTTAACAGCCGGGGCTGTGCAGATTCTCCTGTTACCACTCCTCAGGTTCTTCTCTATGCAGTTTTAATGTCTTTTATACGGTTTTCTAAAATTGTAATGCCGAAATGTTTGTTGTGGAATTGGTTCTGGCTTTTATCTGCGCTGTTTACTTCCAATAGATGCTTCGAGGAACAGCTATTTTTTCTAATACACAGGTGGGATGAAGCATCTACAGTGATTGACATGTTAGGTGTACGTTTGCAGTTCTACTCTGCCTCGTTTACTGAAGATCTACGCCAAGTTGTGAAGCACACAGCTTTTCTGTTCCCGTCCAAGCGCGTATATGCTGCTGGCTGGTCGCTAGGCGCTAATATTTTAGTTCGGTATCTAGGACAGGTTAGTTTGTTTCTTCCATGTTTTCTGAATATGAGTTTGTTAAAGTTTTTCTGCTGAAGGTCCTGTCTCTTGGTAGTAGAATATGGAAGCTTCACAATCAGGATGGAGTTTTGGTTGTGTTCGCAGGAGGCGGAGAGATGTCCACTTTCTGGGGCCGTCTCCCTTTGTAATCCATTCGATTTAGTGGTAGCCGATGAGGACTTTCATATAGGATTCAACAATGTATACGACAAAAGCCTGGCTAATGGGCTCAGGAAAATCTTTGCAAAGTAAGTTCTATCTTTAAGGTTTAGTTGTTGGAATTGTCCCTAATTTTGCGACTGCAGACCTTTACATGTGACTGATTGGAGGAGGGTAATTCAGGCATGCCCATCTATTCGAAGATATTGGTGGCGATTACAACATCCATTTGGTTGCCAACGCCACCACAGTGCGTGATTTTGACGATGGTTTGACAAAAGGTGTGTAAATCTACCTGGTGATGCAAATTATTTCTATTTCTCATCCTCGAGCCGATGTTATCATGATCAAAGATTAGGCTGACAATGAGGAACAATTACTTGTGCACCAGAAGGTTCAGAGAAGTGAGTGTGGCACATTATTTTATAAGCTGGAGAGATTGGACTTGCTTCAATCTGCACAGATAGGAACATGTTGAGTATAAAAGGATGCTTTCGAGAAGTCAACCATTTAAGAATATATCCTAATTAGACATCCTACAACGCTCAAACCTCGAGTTGACTGGTGATTGTGGTTATGATGGATTATTTCGGTGATGCAGTGTCTTTTGGTTACAAAACAGTTGATGAGTATTACTTTGCCTCAAGCAGCTCACGTTCAATCAAAGATGTCAAAGTGCCTCTTTTATGCATACAGGTGCTCTGCATCGTCTTACCTGTTTGTCATGAACCTGCTATTTACAAAAACTCGCGTGTCTAGGTAGTCATTTCGGGACTAATTTTTTCCTTTTCTTGAATAAGGTGAAACATCTTGATGAACCAGAACAAGAGGAGAACTACGGACAAAAACGGATCACAAAATATTTTAAACATGTTCCGGATACACTCTCAGTATCCTCGTTACTTCTAGGCAGGCTTTGTTGCAATTAAGAGCTGTGAAGTAAATTTGCTGTCTACTGAATATTAAAATTGGATTTGCAGGCTTTGACTGATCCAATTGCTCCAGAGCGAGGTATTCCTCGGGCAGATATTGAGGTGCGGCTCCAGTACATTGCATTTAGAATACGTCATTTGTTTATTTGTTTATTAAGGCATGAAGTCTGCAAACGAGCTGTATCAGTGATGATTTTTAATACGGACTCTTCTCGTGTTGGATAGGCAAATCCGAATTGCCTTTTGGTAGTAACCCCGTATGGAGGCCACTTGGGATGGATCTCGGGAGATGAGGCTCCGTTTGGTTGCCCTTGGACGGATCCATTGATAATGCAATACCTTGATGCCCTAGAAGAGGTAGGGTTGGATCATCCTGATTTCAGGAAAGCTCAAGAGCAAGATGGAGACGTTGAATTAGCGGGTTTCAGCAGTCGGAGAGCTACTGAGAAACCTGGGTTGATGGAATGATTAAGGTACTCATTCAGCTTAGTTGCCTCCACTAGATCATCTTGTAGATTCAGATTATTTATGTAGAAACAGGTGGCGAAACCATGTTGAGAATACAGCATTTTAGTCGGACCCAATGTTTTGTAGTTAGGTTGAGATTCACTGCTTAAACCCCATTCGAAATATTGTTGAAGATTCAGTCAGTAGCGTTTACCAAAATGAAATTCATAGCATTTGAATTCCGCTTACACTTTCAAATTCATCACAGAATTACAAGATAAGCAAAATCATGTACTTATGGCATTTGTGATCTTTGGATCGGCATATCAAACTGTTTGAAGAAAAATATTTTTGTATTGATTGAAGCCTCTCTTAGGGGCTGTCTACATAGACCTTGCTGCTAACTATGTAAAGTATGATTTCATTGAGATAAAATCAGCATTACGTTGATGTTAAAGCCACTGCTGAATCCATCAAGAAGAAGAGTGGCTGACAAATCAATAAACAAAGATAATTTCAGATTTACATGGATAATACAATACAAATCATATTCAAATCGTTTTTTTTTTTATTTATTTAATACAATTTCCACAAAAAACTGAGAAGGTATATATTTTTTAAAAATCAATGACTAAAAATAGATGTAGTTTGCCAAGAGCAACAAACAAATCAACAAATTGATTTGATTTATAGGAATCATCTTTAAAATACCATGCAATGTTCGAACTTAACGAGTGACATGATTTTTCTGAAAAGATATAATTCCACTCCCTTGGACAACAGTTAACACATTAAAGATGTTTTCGGTCTAATGTAGATTATTTTTACATAATTGTGTTAATCTTTTTAAAATAATTATTTTGTTATTAGAAAGAGAGTAAGGATTCTATCACAATAGCTTATTCCGAACATTATATATTGAGTTGGGAAATTCAAGTAGAATAAATCTACCATTTTGAAGTAGATATCTGAATTTCTTTTCTAGTTTTTGAATGTAGATTTCTATTTATAATTCGTATTGAAAATTCAAATCAAATCTAACTATTAATTATTAGAACTTATAAATGTTGTATTTACAATTCTATATTTGATGTTTTGTTGTATATTTTTTTTGTCAAATGCCAGGTGCCAATTTTTAATAGGTACAAATTTGTATTAAGTTGTGTTATAGCACAACACCATATCACAACATGACAATGTATAAATGCTTTCTAATTATCATGAGGCTTGTAAACCAAGTATGTAAGTTTGTAGAACACTTCTATCATTGCTTTGTAGGAAAAAAAGAAAAAAAAGAAACCTCTAAGAGAAGTTTTTAAAAGCCAAATTCTAAATGTATAGGTCTAATTTTTTGTCATAGAAGTATCATCAATGTTTTTTTGTTGAAATTTTATCCACTTGATCTATTTCTATATGTATTTATTTATTTTACTTAACTTTATTTATTTTACTTATTTAAGTAGTATAGATAATTATGATAATATATTTTTTTTAGAACTTATTTTATATATAGCTATTAGATTCTAAATTTTTTATGCTAACTTATTTTTGATTAGATTCTAATTTTTCTAAAACACCTCAAATAAATCCTAAATAAATTATAATCAAACATGAAAAACTCCTTAAGAAATCCTGAAAATATACTAATAGAAAATATAAAACTTTCTATTGTTTTTTTATTGAAATAACTAGCTTTATTGTATACTATATTGTTTTACACTATTTTTTAAAATGATTTTAAAAAAAATCTATTAAAATTCAAGGCTTTGTCATAATACCAATAGTTTTTGACTTTTACAATACAAATTTTATATAGTTTATTTAATTCCATAAAAATGATATATATATATATATATATATATATATATATATATATATATATATATATATATATAAATTTACATGAGAAATTTAATAATATAACTTATATAAAGACCAGTTAAGTTTTTAAAATTCAGATAGTGAAACAAGCATATCAAACAATAAAAGAATAAAACTTAGAAATATTTATTTTGATATATTTTTTTTAGAATTAGATATATTATTTTAAAATCTTAAAAAGAGATTTTTTTTTTAAATTATAAGATTTCAAATTAATTTTAAAATGCTAAAATTGAAATATATATATATATATATATATATATATATATATATATATATGTGTGTGTGTGTGTGTGTATTTGTGTGTGTGTATGATTTTATACATATTTTATACATGTTTTTTTGATAGAATCAAAACTACATACATATTTTATACACGTTTTTTTGATAGAATCAAAACTACATAACTAAAATTAAATTTAAATTATTTGAAATATTAAGAAATTATATTAATCATGTTATTTTAGCATCATAAAATAAAAATAAAATGATATTTTTAAAAAAAAATTCTTAGAAAAATAAAATTACTTCCTTTGCAAACTAACAATGTTGTATTATATAAATATCAACATCAATAAATATCACAATAAATATATATTAAAAATATCATTGTATATTTATTTAATATTATTTTATTTATAATCTATAATTATACATAAATTAGTGGAAAAACAATTTTAAAAATGATGTCTTTTTTTGATGTATTTATCTATTCTTATAAAATCCATTGTGAAAGAATATCTTTTTAAAAAAATTACCATAAATTTGAAGGTTAATCATTTATGTATTAAATTTTTTATTTCTTATTACTTTTTCAGAAATATTTATATATAAATATATATATATATATATATATATATATATATATATATATATTACTAAATTCTAAAAATATTGGTACACTTTTTTTTTAAATATTTAAAAATTAAAAAAAAATTAAAAAAATAATTTTTAATATATGATTCTAATGTTTAATTTTTCATTAAAATATTAATTTATTATTTTAATTATTTCTACAATAAATATTATTTTTACATATAATTTAATTATTTTTTAAAATATTTGATATCTTACATAGCCAAAAATTATAATAGAATTCTACTTGCGAGATTTATTATTTTTTTATATAAAGTTCTATTAAAATATAGATTTTTTACTTTTCGTTCTAATATATTAGTTAAAATGTTGTTGTTTACAATATTTTTAATTATTTTCTTAAAAGAAAATCATTTGAAAGAAATAAGCTCACTATCTTATGGTGCTTTTTATTGTTGTTTATATTTTATTATAGTTTGTGAAATTATTCTAAAAGCCTGTTTTAACAATAAATTTAATATTTTTTGTCTTTATTATTTATTGTCTAATATTGAAATTTATAAATAGTGTATGTATATTTATAATTTTTTTAAAAATCCATTTTCTATATTTTAAAATAATTTTTAATAATCTATATATAATTCTTTTTGAAAAACCCTTAATTAATTTTTTTTAATATTATTATGATTCTACATTAATATGCTTCTTTATTCAGATTTTACCAAATAAGAAAAATATTTTCTATTAGAAGGAACCTACAACTTGAGTACCAAAATAGATCAAGTGTAGTCAAAGATGTAAGGTTACATAATGTATTTAGCAATGAGGTTAAGCTTAAGCATTTATTTAGTTCATGTGTAGAAAAAGATATAAGGTTGTCCAATCCATTTGGCAATGATGTTTAGTTTAAGCACTTTCTTAGATCAATTGTAGTTTAACAGATAAGATTGGCCAATTCATTTGGCAATAATGTCAAGCTAGAGCATCCATATACATTAAATGTAGCCAAAGATGTAAGGCTGTTTGATCTATTTGGTAATGATGTCAAACTTGAGCACTAAGATAGATCAAGTATAGTTAAAGATATAAGGTTGTCTAATTCATTTGGCAATGATGGCAAGCTTCTACAATTTTCTAAATTAAGTATAACTAATGAAGTAAGTTTCTCCAATGATTTTGATAATTCTTTTAAATTATAACAATCTTGAATATTGAGATCTATAAATAATATTATGTATTTAATTTTTTAGATAAAGTAATTAAATTTACACATCTTTCTAAACATAATTCCAATAGTGTAGGATTATAAAAAATAGAATTTGAAATATTTTATATGAATTCACAATTTTTCAATTGCATTATATTTACACTTTTTTATTTTTTCTAAATATTCTTTCTATCAAAGATTTGTAATAATTTGTATGTTGATGGTTTTTCTAATTTAGAAATATTAGAAAAATATTAATTATTCTTTGGTAGTCGATCATTTTTACTTTTTATTAATCTATTTAATTTTTAAAATGCTTTAAAGATAGAATATCATACATGTCAAATAAATTAAAAAATTCTTTTGCATTTTGGTCATTAAGATGAGTTAAATCATAAAAATTTTGACATTTAACTTAGTCTTTGTTTAGCTCCATCTTTTATATTATCTATATATCAAAAGTCTAATCTTATTTATTTTGTCAAAGTGTAATCAACTACATTCAATACCAATTTGAATTATTTAGATATGTAGATTAATTGACTAGAAGAAGAGTGTTTTTATTGTATTTTTTAGTTATATTCTAGTCTTATGTAGTAAGCTTTCTATTTTCTTACTAAGTTTTCTCACTTATTATAATTATAGTACTTAATATTTGTAAAGATTACCAATCTATGTTACTATACAGAACTATTATTTTGTCTTCTTTTACAACTACATTTTGACAAATGTTGTGTTTCAATATTCTTTACTTTGATCTCTTACTTTTGCAACAAGAGCATATTATATCTTGAGTTTAAATTATTACTATAATTAAAAATTCAACAATGTTTGATTTTGTATTATCTATTAAGCATGTAACAAAGATGTTTAGGTTGGCTTTTCTACTTATATTTGAAGGTTAGTCATCTATTATATTTTGTGTGGACTTTCTATATCATTTTCTTGTTTGTGCAAGCAATTATAATGTTATTTTTACCAACATAAAGTTGTATTGGTCTATAGTAGCCAAAACAATATTTAAGTTTATCTTTATTTTCTAAAGAATTTCCTTCACTTTTTCCTTCAAGCTATTGTTTGAATACTTGAGTTAATTTGCAAATAATTGTCCTTATGAATGTTGTAATAAATTTTAATACCACATAAAAATAATAATAATGATTTAAAACCTTTTGTTTTATTATCTATTACCAAATGAAATCAACACCTAATAAATAATTTATTGTAATCAATCAAAATGAGTTTTTGTTTCCATGTGATTAAATTAGTAACAAAGAGCACCAATACCTAATCTTTTCTTAATGGTTATACAATACAGAATCTATGATCATCATTTTTGTTGTCGTCTAGATTAGTGTTTATGATCAGATTTTAGGCTTTAGGATTTTAAGGGTTTAGGATTGTAGGGTTTATGCTTTATAAGTCATTGTATTGAAATGGAATTTTAGGTGAAGTCATGTCTTGTATTGAAAATTCCATTTCAATACAAATCTTCCTGCTCTCCACTTCAATCACTCTTGAGTTCCTTTGCTCACAGTCAGCTGTTTGAACCTTGTCTAATCATGTAGAAATATTGTGCTCCTGGTGCAAGTATAGACGCTATTGGTCGTGGTCTGTGCCACGCTGCTCACAAGTGCATCCTAGTGTGGACTTACCTCAGATCACAAATATTTCTTCACATTGTTTCAATGGATCACTTTTCAAGACTACCATTATGATTATTTTTATATCATTAACTGTGGCTTTGATCATACTGTTTTTTGGACGTAATGTGCAGAATTTTTAAAATTAAATGTAATACAGACGCAACATAAACCCACTTTTGATTCTGTAAAATTATTTGTGCTGATTGGACATGAATTGTGGTAGTGAGGCAGTGATATTTCTTGATTACTCTAATTTATTGGTTGCAATGTGTGCAATCAGTTCACACATCTTTCCCATGATAGTTTATAAAAGTTCAGATTTCAACGAGCAAAATTACTCAATTGCTTCTCAAAACTTCTCAAATCAGTTTTCTATTGTGAGTAATTTCAAATTTTACGATTCTCACAGTTGAATTTAAATTTTAAGAAAAAAAAATTAAAACCTTGAACCAAAATGTAACAAAATATTACAGGAGTGAATAAGTGCTCTTAGGTAGCTCCAGATAACACATTTTATAAGCATCAACATGAAACAATCACACGATGCCATGCGTTTTTACATCAAGGTATTTTATTTCAAAAAATACAAAATTGAGAAATCGGTTCTGCACATTTGACTGTAACTTCACTGTTTCGGCAAAGTGCGTCTGTGGAAACAACTAGGTTCATATTTAACTCCTCCCAAAATACGAATGTAGATCCCAAGATCCTTCCACTACTACTGCAATTACACAACCAACCATGCTGCGTGTTGCATAAACCATGTTCTGCCTCGCTTTCCACTGTTTGCCATTAGTACACTGTCTAAGTGATAACGGTAGGCTCTGAGCGACCCGTAAATTCCTCCATCTTTGACAGCTTCAAAGCTACCTCCACCTGAAATTTTAAAAAAAAAAAAGATAATTGACTGAGATGATTGTCATGTTTTACAGATTGCTGACAAGAAACCCTAATATTCACGGGTTGAGCAAAGAGAAATGAATACATCATCTACATTTTTCTAGAGGAGAGATGGGGATGGGAGCGCTTACAAGAGGTGCCAGAGCCTCAGCTGAGGGCTTGAAGGTCTTGGTAGGATCAGCTTCGTACTGCTCAATGTAAAGACGAATTGTAGCGCCGACTGAACCTGTTCCTGAGAGACGGAATACCTACAGATACAAGTGTATTTTAGAAATGATGTAAGACACGGAACCCATAGAAGCTACTATTTCGTCAACTAGCCTTGCCAAAAAAAACACACGTTGGGTACCGTAAACATACCCATATGTGCATGTTTGTGAAAACGAATAAACCAGCCGATTATGCTTTTAGCATGAGAATTGCAATGATAACACGAATAAAGACATGGTAATGTGGAAAAGAAACGTACCAGCCGAGAACCATCCTTGAAAAGATAACGGATACCCTGATGACAAGACACGGACTGGTCAACTGGGTCCTTGTACTCAAACTCGTCTGCTTCTTGAACCTCAGCAACATCTGGTCTGATCTTCTTGATCATACTGAGCCAGCAGAATGTATAGAGTTGTGACCAATGCAGCAATTGGAAAAAGAAAGATAAGCACACACTAAGCAGTGATTACATGCATCGTTTTTTCTAGAAAATTATTGCTGGAATTAGTTGACCCGTATAAATCAGAGGCAGTGCTACAAAACGAATTCGAAACTTACCTGTTCACATCATCCAGATTTGATTGGAGCTCAACAAGATTCTCCATAAGTTTTTTTGCAGCATCGGAATCCACGTTCTGTGCATAATAGAGAGTAGTCGATTAGCATGGTCTTAAAGATGCGAGAATTTTATCATGAATAATCAATTCTGTAGGAGATGAATTGAGATGAGTGAAACCTAACCTCATAATCGTAACGCGTGTAATAATGTCGACCATAGGTGTTCCAGTGTTCAGTAACAATCTCTTCCACTGTCACAAGCTTATCACCACCAGCTTGCTTGTTCCTGTGAGCCAGAATGGAGAGCCATGCCAAAACAGCCCAGATTCCATCCTTCTCTCTTATGTGATCAGAACCTGCACGTCCGAGGGGTAGTTTTTAAGAACCTAACATTTCTGGTAAACAATTCTGAAGATCACAAATATCATCCATCCAAGCATACTACGTAAAAGGTGCACACCAGGTTACGACAAATATAAGACAACTTTGGTTGACTAAAAGTGATTAAAGTAATTGTTTTTAAGAGCTTAGACCTGTTCCAAAACTCTCTTCACCGCACACAGAGCACATGCCGGCATCCATGAGGTTACCAAAGAACTTCCACCCTGTTGGTACCTGTAGCGAATTTCAGCCAAATACACAAATTCACTTCATGAGCACCTCGCGAGAATACGATGAGGGAACAAACACAGCAGTGCGAGAACCACGCTGCAGTAATCCTGGATTTCCTAAATGCACCAATTCAAGACGCTGAACCAACCTCGAAAAACTTAAGGTTCAACTTCTTAGCCACCACATCAAGCGCAGCGGACGTTGGCATACTCCTGCGAGAACATGTCATCTTATCAACTTGAACAGGGTACAGTGAATTGCAAGACATTTACTGCAGACCATGACCTTGAGCAAACTGACTGGAATAAAAACAAAATGACTAAACCTCATACCTGGCAACTCCCTTCAGACCACCACTGAAATAAGGGATGGCTCCAACAGCATTGGCTGCAATAATAGCCACAGAGTCTGACGGGGTTACAAAAAACCTGCACTCAAGACGCAATCGTGTGATAAATGTTTGTTAGTGGGTAAGATCAGGTTTAAAAAATTCACGTGGTCCCACATAAACACTGTAGAGCTCTCCGAAAATCAAAGTCTGTTCCGGAGATCTAGGTTAACTGCAGTAAATTGCACAAAAGGAAGAATACAGAAAACATATGAACTACCACAAGAGAATATTGGGCGATGTGGTTTCAGTGAGACGCTCTGATCATATGTACCTCTTGCCAAGAATCATGTTCCGATCAGCATCACCGTCAGCCGCGGCACCGAATTCCGGAACCTCATCTGGTTGGGTCTTGCCCAATCCCATGACTTGCACAAGTTCCTTAGCATAAGTTAGGTTTGGGTCAGGATGACCTCCACCGAAGTCCTCCTGTATGCAGAAGATATGTCACGCTCAGAGACGAAGTGGTGAGAGACCCACAAATAACTCACATAAGCCCGAATAGGTTAAAACCTGCACTTTAAGGTCTAACGAAAGTGCACGTACCATTTGTTGCATAAAATAAATGTCTACAAATGCAGCTACCATAACTTTTTGAGTTGTCAACAAATCATCAATTCACAACATAATGCGTTCAGACATTGTGAAGTCAGTGCGTAAAATTCAATCTCATGAATTCACCTTCGGCTCGCAGTTTAACAATGAGCTTTCCTTTGCTCCCAATTCTTCCAAGAAGATCTTTTTGGCGTACACACCAGCAACACCATGAAGTGCATCATAACTGATCAAGCAAGACGACGATTGTTAATATTGGTGCTAGTAAAAACCGTGAACGATAAAACGGGTCTAGTCAAATGTGACATCAAATGGGTTTAAATACAACTAAATAGGTCACTTTACTATAAAAAGATAACTGTCTCACTTACCAGAAGGTAAACTTAGGGTTTGTGATCAAATCCTTGATTGCTGTGAAGTCAAAAATAGACCTGCACCAAAAATTAAAGTTTTCTTTAATGAGCAAAGCTGAATTAGAAAGCTAGAGAAGCAAAAATAAAACATTCGTTGACCTGATAAGACATCCAGGAACGGTTGAACGATGCATAGCCTCTGTAAGGAGCTTACTTCATCAATTTAACATAATCCTCAGTTGAATCGAACACTTCCACGTCAAAGGTGCCATTGGGTCCCTCAAAGCTGGTAACACCAATTTGGGTCACATCAACCTGGTACAATAGAAACCAATTGTCAAATACCAAACGTTTCCTGCTTTAAAATATTAACTTTTAAAAACTACAAAAAATCTGTTATAAAAATACAACGTGACAAGTATAAGTACATTTGGGATGCCATCCGCAGTTCGATAAGCTGTAATCTTCTTGGTATTTTCATAAATCTTGTTGGTCAAGCTTTCAGGAGCTGGACCTCCGTTTTCACAGTTGTACTTAATTCCAAAATCCTGTATGAACCAACACATTTAATTCAGCTCCCAAACATTCAGAAATGGCTTCAATGTCAACCCACTACACAAGGGCACCCAGAGGAATGTCTTGTACATAAATGCAGTAAATGCACGAGTCTGAAAGAAACTACTTGTTAGTTCCCGTGGAAGTGGAAAAGTTAGATCACCTCGTCGGGACCACCAGGGTTGTGGCTGGCAGTCAGAATGAAGGCCCCGTAAGCCTTTTCACCCTGAAACCCCTCACATTACAGAAGTAATAAGTATGCAATTGTCACCCACATAAAGCACAGACCAGAGCCAAACTGTCAAACTGTATAAGATAATCGGCGTATGTATTACCCCCTTCAACACCTACCTGACTGTTAACTCGGTTTCGGATGATTGAAGACACAGCGGGGGTGGATAAAAGTGTGTTCTGTCCGACCCACACTCTCTTTACGCCATTAGCAGCGGCGATCTTGATGACGATCTGCAAGAACAACCATCTGAATCAATAGCAGACCTCTGTACACTATCCTCAATTGACATATTAATACATCTCCCATACACTGCTGTGGTAATGAGGAAAGAACTACTTCAATTAGTGAAGGAATGACCAACCTGAATAGCTTCCGTCGACCAGTAACGGCCATCTCCAGATACAACAATGTTGGAGCCTGCACAGGAAACAAAAAGTAATATAAATGACCTGTTCAGAATACATTACGTGTAAAAAGCCAGATTCTCAGATATTATGGATGCGATTGGAAATTACAAGAATGTGATCTATGTAAGAAATCGTGTTCTTGTTAACTAGGAAGCCATCGTCCATTATGTAAATCTCGTTGTAGCAAGAGGACATAAAATGTGTACTCTAATAATGAAAAAAATCCTTTTATGAGAATCCAAAACAGTTTCAGATGTAAGATTACGAGTTCGAAATAATTTATGGAAGATTTGAACTGTGCAACACCTTTCACTTTCTCCGAAGGAAGAGCATCGAAGGTAGCCTGAACAAAGTTGGCAAGATAATGCTCTTGCTTGAATACTGTCACCTGCACAGATCAGATTCAAATAGTTTAAATACGCTCAAATATGAGCTACGTCAGACCATCACATTATTTCCGAGTACAATGGTCAGGAATTGCAATGCAATGTGCGGCACCATCAATTGCACGTCGCAATATACAATTACTTATCTATATTTTTCTTGACAATTCACAATTAATGAATGGCAATCGATGTTGGTGCAGTGACTAAGTGAAACACTACACACATTGAAGAAGCAAAGTTCAGAAAAAATAGTGGGCAGTAAAGAAGTTTATTTAAACGAGCTGCATTTATAATCTGAAGAAAGCATGACAAAATTCGAGGGTATGATGAATTAAAAGATAGAAACGAAAATTGTTAATAAGCACCTTCTTGCGCAGACCAGATGTGCCAGGCTTCTGGCCATCGATCGGCTTAGTTTCCTGCTCCACCACCTTAAAAAGACCCATCTTACAAGACCTGCACAGAGGAAAAAAATAAATAAATAACCGGAATTACTCCACCTTACATTACATCACTTCTAAGAATTTATCTCCCAGATAATGAAGTTCCTCTTCACAACAAGATCCCACAAAAAACACCCGATGCAACTCATACCCAAGATCGACAAACTCCTTCATTTCTCAACTCAAATTTCCTAAATATAGCATCAGAATGCGCAAGCACGCGACAGCGTGCCCACACAAACACACCCACGACACAAACGTACACATTTCTCCCAAAAAACAACAAAGAGATCCTCGGATTTGCCTGATAGTCTCACCTTCACTTCCCAACACCGATCGATCGATCGACCCTCTAACCAAACAACCAAATTCAGAAAACCCAGGAAAACCAGAAAATGAGATTCCTAGACACTTCCAAAGCCACAAGATCGAAGCACAATAATCACAATGTGTCAGCAAAATAGATATATTACAACCTTGCACGACGTCGCGGGTGCTGTGAAACGAAGATAGGCAAAACCAGAGTGCGCGCGAGCAGAGTACTTTACAATCCACCGGTGACAAGGAGTTACAAAAGGATAGTCTAAGTGTGGACCCGAACGGTCTGGGTCGAGAGCAGAGACTACTTAACCCCACAACTGCATTCCGATCGGTTCAGAGATCAATGTGTCAAAAGGCGAGAAGAAGAAAAGTTGGCAGCCGATTCAGCGACGAGTGTTGGTGGGGTCACGAGTTGACAGGTCCACAAATCTAGGGTTGGGTTGGTTTTCGCTCACCTCTCTCCCGTTAACCCCAGCAGCAGCACACATCCATGAGCTTCCTCTTCTGCTCCAATTCTGATCTCACTTTCTTCAGATCCCCAATAAGCTAAATAAAAATAAATAATGTATATATATATATATATATATATGCCAAAGGGCAGACAAGCTGCCCGTTTCAGTGGCAGTGCGGGGATGCGTTGCGGATATTCCTGGACTCCCTACCACTGAAATTGAGTTGCTGCTGCGTCGGATTGCGCAGCTGCAGTTGCTGCTCGCCTCTCATCCACACTGAAAATGTGCAGATGGGTGTTTCTTCTTCATGATTTGTCTGTCAACTGCAGTCCACGACAGGCATGATCACCCCCCCCCCCCCCACTCCTCTCTCTCACTCTCTCTCCCCCCATCTCTCTCCCTCTCACGGGACTTCTTCGTCATCGCTGACTGCATCACTCATCGCTCCTCCTCTTGGGATTTGCCTCGTTTGCAAGCATCCAACACCACGTAATATCCACTGCGTTGAATTCAGCGATGATTTGTGCATTGTTTCGCACACTTCTCGTTTGTAGAAGTGCAATTGCAGAGCATCGGAATGAGTGTCTCTCTCTATCCTGCAACAAATGCACCAATCAAACTGGGTATAGGTATTAGTATTATAAACATTACTAATGTTATAATATATTATATATTCAGAAAAAATAGCTGTAGCGTGAGAAGAAGGCAATTTTGCATAGGAATTGTGCAGTGATAGTGATCAATATTTTGCAACAGTTTGGGTTCTCTTGTCCCAGTCTTCCATAGCGGAGCAGATTCGATTGTGTTGTGGCACTGAGTCAAAAAGGTTGCCCATGTGGATGCACAGTTTTGCACCCAAACAAACAAGCAATAAAACTATTAAAATGGGAATAAGTATTACATTTAATTGGGATTGAGGAGGAGATATGTATAATTATATTTATATTTAAATACATGTATGTATTTATGTACAGTTATATTTATGTGTTTATGTATTGATATATATATATATATATATATATATATATATATGAGAGTGCTGATGGTTGTTGTTGCAGTTGTTGTTGACAAGAGCAACTTCTCCACTTCACATCCAATGAAAGAAAAAGCCCCAGGAATGCAAAAAATAAATAAAAATAAAAATAAATGAAAAAACAGGAGGCTCTGGAATCATCAATATTTCTACGCTCCTCCATTTCATATGAATGTGCTGTTTCATGTGAGTGTAGTACCAAACCCATGCCCATGTCTTTTTGTCATGTGTTCTCAATATTGATTTTTCCACCGTAGCCTAAACTCTTGCATAGTAATTTTGACAAATTTTAGTCTTATTAAATTGTCTAGTTGAACTACAAGAACCTTACAATATTAACAAAAAAATATTGTAATTTTCTTATAACTTAGAAAAGATAGAGTAAAAGGAACTATAAGCTAAGTGTTCCAATCATTGACTTGATACTAGGAATAAACAAGCAACTTTAAGATTACTAAGAATTGATCAATTTTAATTTGATTTGCATTTCAGAAATTAAAAAAAAAATAAAAATAATAATTGGCAGAAAAAGTATGAATAAATTGTATATAAGGTTTTATATAGACATTGTTGTTAGTTGTACACATTTTTTAAAAAATTAAGTTTTATACATGCACACACATAGTAGGAATATAATTTTAATAGACAATGTTTGATAGGAAAATTATTATTTATTAAAAATCATAATATTCAGAATAATACATATTTTTAATTTGGTTTTGATTTATTTTTGAATTGGATTATATATATATATATATATATATATCTCTTCCATCTTTCAAAAAATATAATTTCCAATCTATTAAATATTTTTTACCAAAAGGGATTATTTTACACAAGCATTTAAACATGCATATGGTTTTTTAATAATAAAGTAACATGTAACAAAACTTTGAATTTATCACTTGATATTATAGTAATACATCAGACAAAAATGTCTTAACTAGTAGCTAAGTGAAACAAGCATTCAAACTTGGTAAATATATTTAAGAATTCATTTATGTGTTTGATATATATATATATATATATATATATATATGTGTGTGTGTGTGTGTGTACATATTATTTTTTAAAGCCTTAGATTTGACCCCTTTAGTGGCAAACGGTTTATCAAATAGTAAGATTGTATTCTTTCTATTAAATCTCTGTAAATTAATTAATGAAATCAAATTACTATGCTAAAATGTTATATTGAAATTTACATGAAAATTTATGATTTTGATGTTTACACAAAGAAAAAAAAAAAAAAAAAAAAAAAAAAAAAAAAAAACTGCAGTGTTGACAATAAAAATTATAACTTAAAATACGTATATATATATATATATATATATATATATATCAATACCTTGAATACAATACCTTGAATACAATAATAATCTTTTAAAATTTTGACCATAAAATCAGCCCTAAAAATTATCTCATATAATTATTTAGATTTTTTTTCATTTGATACATATTATTAAAATTAGCATAAATTTGAAATAATTTAAAAGATATCATCTTATGCATTTTATGTCTATATTATAATATTTTTGGGATTTTTTTTAAAACAGAGACATTAATTACTTAAATCTAATTTAATTGAATATTGAATACACTCGTATAAGTGATTGGAAATGTTAATAAATTTTTTTTATAGAATTTTACATTAGATCATTGATTATATTGAAGATATTTTTTGCTCATAAAACTTAAATAGGTAAATCTGAAAGACATCTTAAGCCATTTAAAAATAATCACAAAAAATTAATTATTTGAAAGAAACATATATAAATATGTGTAAATATAAACATATATATATATATATATTCTTAGAAAAAAATTAATCAAAAGGACATGAAAAAAAATTACAAATATTTGCATGATATTATGAAATTTATGAATTCAACACTATTGATTTGTGCATATTTTTTGAAATTTATTATTTTATCAATATTAGAAAATATATATAAATTCTTAGAAAAAAATTAAACAAGTTAAAGCTTTTTCAAAAGTGCTTAAATTTAAAATGTAATTGCAAATTTATTAATATATTTGTAATTATATTGCAAATGCATTTATAAATTTATAATTTTTTTATATATCTATATCACTTTAGTTCAGACACATTTGATTTTTTAGATATAGAATCAAATAAAATGATTATTTAAAAATATAGATGTTATTTAATTCTATTAGAGTTTATTTTAAAATTAATAGTTTATTTACATACTTATATATAATGTATTTATTTAATTATTTCTAAATAATTACACATAATACTATTAAAGGTTTACAAGAAGATTATTTTAATATGCCACACACATTGGAATCGGTTTTTAAAAGATTAGAATTTTAAATCTTTCTTTTTGGATATAAATTAAACTTTATCTGAAATATTTAGGTTTATAAATCAGAGCTTAATTTTAGATTTACATATTCTTTTCTCTAAAAAACTGGATTATTTCGAATTAATGGTTTTATATTTGAGATTTGAGATTATTGTTTAGGATTCAAGTTAAAATTTAGGACTCAATTTTTATTTAGAAATTAGTTATAAATTTAATGTTTATGGTTTAATTTAAATTTTAAGATTCAATCTCAAAGTTTGGCTCACAAGTAAATTTTATGATTAAATTTTTAATTTAGTGAAGAAAAATTTATACAAGTAAAATTAATAATTTTCTTATTATGATTTAACTAATAATATTTTATTATTTAAAGTTTTATAATTTATATTTTATAATTTATTAATATAATTTACAATCACAAATAATGTTTATTATTTGTAAATTTATTTTACAAATAAATCTTGTACTACTATGTATTTTCAATTTTGACTTTATTTATTTCCTAGTATCAATATAATATTTTAAATTATATTAATGTTAAAAATACACAAAATCAAAGAATAAAAACAAACAAGCTTGTATATATGGTGCATATTCTAAGTTCTATTGGATTATAGTATATCCCCTATAAAATATAACTTGCATTTAATAATCTAAGGCAATCTTTTCATGGTTATAAAAGACAATGAAACACATTTTTTGTACACCTTTCAAGTATGTTTTCATCAAGTCCATAGTAATATGTTCTTTCCATAATTTTTAATTTTTTGTTGATATATATATATATATATATATATACACATATACATGTAATAGGTTATTAATAAAACCCAACAAGAGTTGTTATAATTTTTAATGATTTTTTTTTAATTTGAATGATTTTAATTATAATAAATTCAATTTGAAAAAAATAGTACACATAAGAAAAAAATTAATCTAAAGTTTTTAATTATAAGTTCTACCACTTAATTTTCTTTTAAATAAATGTCACAGTCTTAATTCAAAATATTGTATAAACCTTCTATTCTAAACCATTCCAAGATTTGATCTCAAATCAATCTGAATGGAAAACTTTAATTAAATCTCTAAATTTAATGATATGGTAGATACTAAATTTCATAAAATCTTCTAAATTCTAAAAATTTAGATCTTAAGTAATAGATTGTACACTATGTACAAACTTTGAGGATTAGTTCTATTTTTTTATGTAATTATGGAAGAAGTTCTGAGATCAAATCCTAATTCACTTGACAAATCTTAATTCTAAATGAAAACTTAAACTTTAATCAAATTGATATTTTCGAGTATAAGCTAAAAATCTTAAACCATGATTGAATCTTAATTCATAATTCAAACTATAATTTTGAGTAAAAAAGCTAATCCTTTTTTAATTAATATTTAAATTCTTTTTTTATAAAAAAACACTAATCTTTACCAATATTGATATTCTAAACTCTAATTTAATGCCAGAATTTGGATCTGCTATTTAATATTTCAGATGGAATCTAAAGGAAATCCCAGAAAATTCTAGATTCTTAAAACAAATTATAATTTCAAGTTGAAGCTCAAGTTTTATATCAAGTTATAAATTTCAATCATCAAATTCTAAA